CTCAACTCCGAAATACGCCTCTACCTCCCTGCCACCCAATGAAACACTGAATTCGTTATCTGAATTTTTATTAATCGACACCAGCTGTTTAGTAGGCATCGAGTGAACGATTAAGGTTAATTGTTCGTCCTATCGGAAATGACCCAGAAGGCTCTTGCACTGAAGGACCCACGATGGAATCCCATGAGTGTTCCAGGCCAGTAGTGAAATGAGGTTGCTGAGGTAAAGCTGTAACTGCGGTCACCCCTCAAGTCACTCCAATTAATTATAGTCACCAGAGATTTGAATTTGCGCGGTAAGATTACACGAGAATATAATGGAGATAAAGGTGCGATCGGACAGAAAGATCTCGCATGTGATAGCATGCTCTCCGATCCGTTTCCTCTTGAGTACGTATTAACTTTGTCCGCAAGTTCTATACACTTGTACAGCAGATTAATGTGCGTTTTAGTGCACAAGTATCCGCAGACTATTCCAAAGTCATAACAGTACGTCAGCCCCCGGGTGAATAACGACAAAGTGCAATTTATGTTTTGAGAAAAATTTCGAAACTTTTAATGGGAAACTTGGTGTTTTCTAAGATGTTGTGAATAACATCATGATTGAGTTATCCTAACGCAATGTCCACTTGAAATCGAATGACAACTGTTGGGCGGTCTTCGTTGAAAGTTTAGAAACAAATATTTTGTCGATTTATTGGTTTCCCGAGGGAGGAACTGGAAATAGCGGAGAGTTAAACGGTTTATCTCGACCCTCGCGAAATGTATTTTCAACGTATATCACTTTTAGATGTCGATAAATAGTCGACATGTGTTGACGTACGGAAAATAGTTGATGTATCGGATTTCAAAATATGTTTTCGACGATTATATGGCATTTAAAAAGTTAACGAGTATGGAATTGTGATATACTGGCAGTGTCCCAATTCTTGGCACTTCATTTTATCGCGCCTTTTCTAAGGGCGTAAAAAAAGTATTTTCTCAATAATGGATCATGGCAACATAGGAAATCGTTACTTCAAGAGGTTTTTTTGGCTTTGACAAGCTGCATTCTTCCATAAAACAAACTTAATAAATTAATATCGTCGGAAATAAAAAAAAGAATATACCCGTTTCTACCAAATTGACAGAAGGACATGCCCCAGTTATTGGCACCCTAGATATTTATTTTTCACACCAAATTGTGCTGTTTATCATGGTCATGTTGACACCATGGCTGTATCAATTTTCACTCCATTCATTACTCAACTTTATTAATATACTCTATAATTAATACACGGGGAGAGTCGTCAGGGAAAAATTTTAGTGCTTGGCACCAGAAACGAGGCGCAAACTGCCAAACTCCCAATTGTAAATGAACACGGGAAATTTTGTTGTACGTTCATCAACTTTTGCAAGGAAGCCCGAGAAAAATTCTGGTGCTAGCACTAGAAAATTTACGGGTGTGTCAATTTTGTGGGGAATGCCGGAGAAAATTGTGTGAAAAACTCGATTAATTCTTGGAAACATTAGAAATTTAGAAAAGTTGGAAAATGATCTAGAAAATCTTCACAAATTTTACTATACGAATGGTAATCGTAATGTGTGTAATATGAGAAGTGTAATTTAGTGAAAAAATACAGGTTTTTAGGGAATATCTTACGATTTTCTCCATCTGGTTTCATGTTTTACGGTTTTCTGTTTTGTTTCCATCTGAAGCTCATGGAGACGGATGGCAGTGAATTTTTACCAAACGGCTTCGGTAAAAATCGTTCTCCATTACAGAAAAATTATCCGAAGAATTGGAGAAATTATTTATATTCACTGGGATAATTTTTGATGGGATGCAGTAAATGGTGCTCACGTTTAGTTAATTTTCCCGGGCCAACGCAGTAAAAGTCACTATTAATCTCGCACTTTTTCTCCTATTTAAAGTGAAAAAGTACCGAAAATCGAGTTTGTTCCACGATTACTTGACTCGTTTGGTAATTTCTCTCCAACGTTTTTCTCCGTCCAGACACATAGAATGTCTAGAATGCATGTCTCAATCTCTTAACTTGAGGCACTAAAAATCCTCTATTAAAAATATGTGAAACATATTCGGTTAATAATTCAAGTTGACATTTCCAGTTCATCATAGCTTAAAAAATTTATTTTTGAAGATCTCTTTCTTTAATTCTTCAAAAAATTATTACTTACATTAAAAAATGTTTGTTTGATTGCGTGAATGAATAAATATTGATAGTGATAATAATGGATAATACTTCTTTATTTCATTTTAAAAAATCGTAAATAAAAAATTTTTATTCATGTATTTGTGGAAAAAAAATTTTCCCCCAAATCTAAACGCAATAGGAGCAAATATCCACTCCTTTTTTAATGACCAAATGACTATATAACCATCATCAATAATGAGAATAAACCACCAACAAATACATGCGCGCACGAAGCGTGCTCCCTTTCCCTAGTTACCTAAATTTCAGGACAAAAACGGTTTAGAAAAGGGGAAAAAAGTGTTTCAATTTCAGACAATAGTTTTTCTAGCGTAACATGGCTTTCTCAGAAATTACTAGCGAGCTCTCCATGAAAGTACATTATTTATCTAACACACTTAGAAAAATAGCTTTGAATTTGTGAATTTAAATTGACTAAACTTTATTTAAATGAAGTAAATCTTCTATTGCAATCAAATTAACAATTTATTTCATGCAAATAAAGTTTATTTAATTCAAATAAACAATTTTTTTTGCGTGCAATGTGGCACACGTCTACTCTCCTTCCATACACTGATACAAAAGATGGAAAAATTTAATCACTATAAATAATGGTGCTTCTCAGTTATTGACGCTATTCGTTAACTATTAACGAACGGGATGAGTAGTTGAGAAGACTCATTGACAGCAACTGAATCTACTCATCAGTGTACATACAGAATAATTTGAAAAAGAAACAAGTGGGAAATTGCTCTCGTATTGCATATGGGCAGATCCACGTCAAATCGACCACTCGATGATATGGATGTCAGGGATTTGGTCGCCGATTTTGGTCCAATATCAGTGACTTAAAAACAAAATGATCCTAAATTTTCAGCCCTTAATATTGATTGACATCAATGTTATGATTTTTTAAATATCGAACACCTAGGATAGATATTTTTGCAATAAATTAGCAATATGCGATACAAATTAGCAATATCCAAATGGTTGTTCGCGCATCATTTCCTTCTATCATGTGTAATTAATTGTTTATTTCATTTTATTAAATTGAATAAGATTTCATTTTAACTAATTTTGTCAGATTTTCAACTTAGTTGAATGTTATCATCATTATTAGTCTATTATCTCTTTCTTCTACACAACAGATTGTCTTTTTTACGGTTCTATCTCTCCCTTCAGCCCTTCGATAAAATGTTAATAGAAAAATTTTATTTATACAGACAAATGAATTTAAAAGACCACATTTGGAAGGCATCAGAAAGCTCACTTTCAGGGAAATTCATGAAAAATTAGAAATTTTTAACTTTTTCAACTTTTTCAAATTTTCATCATAAAAATCAAATCAATCAATGTAATTATAATAATCATCTGTCAACTTCGACTGAATGGCATTAAAGCAAATATTTTAAGCTATGATTGAATTTATTTCCAAAAACTTATTTCCAAAAAATACTAAATTTTTTCAAATGATTCAAAATAACTATTATTGTTATCGCCTTCATCTTTGCACTCGGTCAAAAGGACATCAAAACAAAATTTTTAAGCCATCATTCAATCAATTCAGACCATTTTTTTTAGTTATCGCGGGACAGCCGATTTTCGAAAAAATCGAAAATGATAAAAACTAATCGATGAATTAAATTTCAATTAATGGCGATTGATAGGGCTCAACAATACCTACATTTGAAAGGAAACAGATTCAATTACATCCTTTCATCAGCGAACAATTGAAAAAAAATTGTTACACACACGCACACGTTCACTGATAGAAAATCACTCCCGAAATGTCAAGTAAAAAATCTTGAAATTTTTAACAATCACTCGTTCACGCGAAATATTTATGTATTTTGTTATTGAAAAATCAATTGAATTCTGGAATATTCAATGGAATTGCAATTTTCAGGTCCGCATGATAATCAAAATGATTAAATAATCTGAAAAATCAGGGAACAATTTCCTTCAATTTTTAATCCACTGAAAATTCAGCCCGACGTGATGTCCAATTTCCGCAATGAATTTGAAAATTCTAGATGTCATTGAAATGTCGGTGACAATCTAACATGGAAAACCCAATTATTCTGAATTTCCAACCCGAATGAAAGAATTCACGAACGATCAGATTTTAAATTGAATTAAAATTCGCAATATTGAGAATTCAAGGGCGACTATTACTCAATTGAAAAAAATTTCTAACAGTGTACGGACGAGGTCTAAAAATTGCATTTCCAGACATTTTAGATCATAGCGGGTCGATACAACACAAAAAATCCAAAACTTAAATTTGAACGATCACAAAGCTTCCATTCGAAAGCAAAATTCCCAGAATTGTCATCAAATATTTCTGGTACTCGAAAGAAGGGGTATGGCCCCCTCAAACTTTTTAAAAAGCTGTCAATGCCGTTCTCGTTCCTCCCCGCTGCATAAATTAATTCCGCAACTTTATCGACGATCTCGAGGTTGAAACTAAAAATAATTGGACGCTGTGAACAAAGAGGTAAACACGTGCAGCACGATAACCAAAACAAGAGCTAACCGAGGGAAGGAATATGGATCAAAAAATAAGAAACGTGGATGTAACTCGGGGGTATTGTATTACTCACACCGATCGTCGTAAACAAATCAGTCTCAGCAATGCGATAAGCTGGATGATGCGTTCGAGAATAAAATTCCTCACTAAGTGTGCCGCTACCATGACACTCTCGGTGAGTGTTATGATCCGCAGAAATTGCATTCAACTCAGAAATGATAATGTCTTAACAGCGGGAGTAACGAGAAATGACAAGGAATAACACTGGAAATAACTCACCCAGTGGAAGATGTCCTCCTGAATGCTCGTCCTATAAATCACACTCAGTCTCACAGTCCAGGTGTCCCCAGCATTCCACCTTTGTTCCTCACAACTCCTTACTGTAGTGATAAATCTTCACATTAGCACCCGGAAACTAGCCCTCCCCAGTCCCACCACCAACAATTCACTGACTACTGAAAAACCGGAATGATCGATTCCCCGCGAAATCACTGTTTACACATATTTATCGAGACTCGTGTATTTACTCCGTGGGAATTCGAAGTGGCATTTCGCTTTATCCTCAACAAACTGATTGAACGTCTTTGACCAACTCGAGTGTATTTATCTTGATAATGATTACGATGATAAGGTGGAACACTAGTACCACTGTGATAATAATAGTACGTTTCACTTATTTCAAATGGTGAAAAAAAAGGGAAAGAAATTTAATAACGAAAAGTGCAACTTTGCGATTGTTGTTTGCAAGACAGGTGATAATATGACGAAGGTCAGAACACTCCAACTTGTTTTCTCTCGAGTGCTTGAGATGATGAAAAATTTTACGACTCTTGTTTCTTCTTTTCGAGGACTTATTTGGATTTATAAATGAAAAATAAAGAATATCTGTTTGCTTGATAGTTCATTAAAAAATGTTATTATTAATTAGCCTGTAATGTTGCTTAAATTAATTGTTGATTTTCTGACATCTACTGGGGGACGAAATCAACGTCCTGGCAGTAGAACCGCGCGCGTCCGTCGACGGACGTCGTTTCAATGAGACTACGCTCAGAGCTCTAGCTATATCCAACGAATCTTACGCATGTCTGTCAGAGTTTTCCGCCTATACTCATCTCTGTTCCTCGCGTTTCCAGGTATATTGCGCATGAGATTTTCACGATGGTGAATTTTCACATCCCCCCCCCACCAACTGTTGCTCCTGTTGATGAACGAATTCGCTCAACAATGCTGTACCATCCCCACTGACGATGAATACAATAGTGCACACGTGTGTAATGTACTCGGGAATATTATGGGATCGATTGGCGTAATAAACTCGTCTGGCTCGATCACATCGAGTTAATGTCAATCTTAAAGTTAGTGGTGAAGACATCCTGGGCAGCAGGTGGTCCTTAGGTGCAATCGAATCACGTGTGGGATAATTAGAACATCATAACGTTTTTATTGGGAACTTATCTCATTATCTAATTTTACGTTATTTATATTTCAGGGTGGTCAAGTGATTTTATCATTGTGAAATTTTTTTGGGGTTCTTCTGCACTTGGGCGAGAATAACACGGAAAAAAAATATAAGTCGAAGTATATTTTATACTCGAATGGGGGGTGGGTGTTTCAATTCGAGGATGATTATTTCGTATCGGCCCCTGTTGTATCGAACGCTCTCAAGTGTGATATGAGAGTGAGGCGCTAAGTGTGAGAATATAAGGGTCAAAAAATGGAGGGTAAAAAATGAGGGTCGGAATATTAGAGTAAAAAACTGAGGGTCTGAAGATAAAGGTAAAGGTGAGGGTCAAAATATTAGGATAAAAAAATTAGGGTCACAATATAAAAGTAAAAAAAGTGGGTGTCAAGCAATGAGGGTCATATAAGGGCTAAAAGCGGTGATCAAGCATAATATTTATATAACTTATATTTAGACCCTCATTGCCCTCATTGACCCTAATGTTTTGACACTAATATTCTGACCGTCATTTTTCAATCTACACTTTTTGATCTTTATATTCTAATACTTGAAGCCGGACCCTTATATTACACTTGGGAGGGCTTGCTACAACCCGGCCTGGTAGAGAAGAATCACCTTCGAATTCACGGAGGGAAATATTCAAAAAAAATTACCTTTTAAAAATTATCTTTTCCGTAATTCCGGAGCGCAATGTGGTTGTAGGAATTTTTACGGAATTGTCACGTAATTTCTATCTAAAATCACGGAATTGTTGCAAAGCATTCCGTAATTTTTAGCTGAAACTCCTGTGAAAAATTGAGTGATATTCCGTAATCGGTGAGCAAACTGTGAGTTCCGTAATTTTTACTGAACATTTCTCTTTTTTTTCATGAATTTGAAAAAGATATTATTCTCTACTCTCAATTCCGTAAATTGAATTGAACATACGTACGAAAAATAAAATTTCAGCCAATTTATTCGTCGTTTGAGAATGTAATACCAATCTCAAAATTAGTGATGACGAGCTCCTGTGATAACAGATTCTTAGAAGTCGATTGAAAGACGTGTGGGATTATTAAAAAATAATAACATTCTATTGCAAATTTATTTCATTATCTAAGTTACATCTCAGGGTGGTTTATCGATTTCAGCATTATGAAATTCCTCTTGGGTTCTCCTGCACTTGGGTGAGAACTTTCAAACAATTTTAAGAGCATGTATTTCTCCACTCAATTTTCTAAATTAAATTGACCACAGGCACAAGAAACAAAATAAAGCTACATAGTGCATTTCCGTTTTTTGAGAATTGCGTATCAATCTTAAAATTAGTGGTGAAGACCTCCTGTAGCAGCAGCTCCTTAGGTATTCATTAAAGCATGTATGGGACAATTATAAAATTATAACATTTTCTTTTTTAACTCGTTTCATTATCTACGTTAGTTAGATCTCAGAAGGGTATCATAAACATCCGAATCAACTTCTGGTGATGAAAATTTGGTACTCGAAATTAAGACTCCAAAATTATCCGTCCCAAGGGTCATGAGGGTTAGAATAAACGATGACGAGGAATCAAAATAAGGCTTATGAGGGTCAGAATGAGGTCACGAGGGTCTGATTAAGCGTCACAAGGGTCCGATTAATCGTCCAAATAAGGATAACAAGAGTTAGATTAAGGGTCTCGAGGGTTATAATGAGGGTCAATTTGAAGATCTAAATAAGGGTCACAAGGGTTAGATTAAGGGTCCAAATAAGGGCCATAGGGATCAGAAACTACGGGTCACAGGGGTCAAAATAAGGGGCTCTGTATATCTCTCTGCTATAAAAATCCAAATCGACTTTTGGTAAGGAAAATTTGGTATTCGAAAGGAAAACTACAAAATTACGGGTGAAAAATGAAAGGTCATGAGGGTTACATTAAAGCTCACAAGGGTTTGATAAGGATCATGGGGGTCATATAGGGGTTGGCGAGCGGAGCGAGTAGGGGGCGTAGCCGCCTAGTCAATTCTAAAATCAGTGGCGAAGACCGACTGTGACAGCAGGACCTGAGGTACGAAGTAAAACACGTGTAGAACAATTAAAAAATAATAACATTTTTATTGAAAACTTGTTTCATTACCTAATTTACTTATATTTCAGGATAGTTTATCGATTTTATCATTATGACATTCCTCCTCATTTTTTCTCCACTTGGGCGAAAACTTTCAAACAATTTTGACAAGATATACTTCTCCCCTCAATTTCCTAAATTGAATCGAACATACGCACGAGAAATAAATTCCAGCCAATTCATTTACGTTTTTTTTTTTGTTTCTGTGTACTTTTTTTCATTGTTCAGGATCATTGACGAAACCACTCTAACGAATTACGGGTGCGCGTGTCAGTGAGACGTTCAACATCACTCCCTTGAGACGATGATAGGGAGGTTTCGTAAATAATGAATTTTTCCTTCCGTCGATGATAAGGTAAGATCGATTAAGATCGGGAGGATAAGTCACGATGTCAAGGGAAACAACGATAAACCTGTTGAAATAAATTAATCACATTCGTTTTTTTTTATTCTATCAGGGATGCAGGAGATGCGGATACTTCCGGACTTCATTCTCACCGACGAGAAAACTCAATACGTCCCTCATTGTTAAGTGATAAATTGTGTCGTTCACTTTGCTGGCGATGAAGTCCTGAATGCGCGGCACTATGTCCGGTTTCATTATCTCTAGGGCTTGAGGGAGAACGTCCTGGATCACCTGTGGATGGCCGGAGATCAAAGGAGGTATTAGATGGAGAATTTTTTCATCAGCAATTACTTGTAGGGGACGATCTACTTGTCACAATGGGAGGGAGTGATTTATCGACGATACAGTGGTTTTTGAAAACAGAAAAAATAGTTTTTGTTTTCAGAGAGATATCACTGATTTTAGAAAAATAAAAGAATGCTTGATGGGTTGAAATTCAACAACTGGTTGGTAATTTTTTTTAAGAACTAGTTGTTGAAATTTACCAAATAATTTTATCCGTACATGATACTTAATTCAAGGCATTTTAGTTCTGGAATCTAACGAATTATCAATCACGCAGTTAAAAATTTTTGTCTGAAATTTCTGGAACACTTTTTGGAAATTTTTATTGAATTTAATTACCACTGAAATTTCAAGGAATTTTGTCATTGAAAATTCAGGAATTCGTGGAAAAATTAAAGAGAACTGTAAATGACAGTTCCATTTTTCACTGAAAATAAATAGAAAAGCAGAAAATTCCGGTAAATATATTCTGGAATTTTCAGAACAGTGACATTGAATGCGAGTTAGGGGGAATAAAATCACGAACTTTCAGATTTTACTGAAAATTTAATGTAATTTGTGGCTGAATATTCATATTAGATTGGACATTCCAATAAATTAAGGAATTCTCCTCTTTATCCTGCTGAACATTCTGGAATTTTACTGAATTTTCAGTGAAACCTGAAACTTCATGAATTTTTTCCCCTAAATCTAATGATGCCGTCGAGACTAGACGAGAATTATTTTGGAAAAATCATCACGGCCGAAAAAAAAATCGAAAGTTTAGGAATCGCCGTAATCTCAACAGATATCGGATCGGTGCATCTCGTCACGAGCTTGGAAGAATCGATCACGTCTGAGTTTCAGTATTTTCTGTTTTTCAAATGTTTGTCTCGATATCTGTCTCGTCTCGTCTCGTGAACTTAAAAAACTATGACGACAATCTCGAGATCCAGGCAAGATAAATCCTCCCGGAATTGTGACGAGATGCACCGATCCAATGTCTTTCGAGATTGCCATGATTCCAAAACTTTCGATGTTTTTCCAGACTGTAATGATCTCATCAAAATAATTCTCGACTAGTCTGGACGGCATCACTACCTAAATCGCATTCAGTCTTACTGCCCTGAAAATTCGTGGTCAACTGTCCATGAAATTTCATTTTTTTCTAACAGTGCAAATGGGAATCCAGCATAATTCGGTACTGAGTCTGTATTCATATTTTTATTGAAAATTCGAATAAATTTCATTATTTACTTACTTCATTCATAACCCTCCCCAGTTTTTCATCGCCCATCAAATTCCCGAGGTACATCTCAATGTGTCCTATGTTGAAGTCCATATCGAAACTCTTCAGATACATCCCCCGTGAGTACCCAAGTACCGTAGCAAAGTAGACCCTCAAATCGCTGACGGTCGCTGTGACGGGACCTGCCCCGTGAATGGTGAACATATCGCCAAGAACCCCAGCAAGTTTGTAATCTCCCTCCATGTATAATTTTGGAAAGGTCAGGTTCATCGCAATGGACGGTCCGATCAGCGACAGTCTCGCTCGATCAACCGCGAACGACGTTATGCCAGAAATCGTCATATTATCCAAAAGTATTTTCAATCTGCAATTTCAATAGATTACCCTATTACCACAACTTCATCTTCTCACTGGCAAATTATGTCTGAGTTGAATTAACTTACGCAATAGTCTGAACAGTACGAATAATACCTTCTCCTTTGAAATTTATGAAAGTGAGTAATAACATAACTTGCGGTTTGGTGCATAGTCTCATTATTACATTGAGAGAGAAACAGAGTTTTGATGGGAATACACATTCTCAAGTCGGCAAACATATTTTTTATTTTATTTATTTATTTATTTATTTATTTACTCTGTCTTACAGGGTGGTCCCTCCTATGACAGAGGGGGGTTGCCAATAAGAATAGAGAATATATAATACATAGTGTGTATACAAAATTAACGTATTCGATAACTGAAAAAGAGTGAAACAAAAGAAAAATAGATATGAATTGCCCTCAAGAAAAGAATATACATTTCATAGTGAGCCGGACGCTGCTTAGAGCAAAATTAAAGCTAAATTATAAACATAATTGATAGAGGCGAAATAGAAATCAAAAATCATTGATAGGAACAATAGGAAGGGATTGCAAGTATTTTGTGATTAACTGGTCAGGTTTCGCGAGGGCCCTGAATTTTTTCTCCAAAATGTCATCCCTAATTCTAAAGTCAAATGTAATCCCTAAAGTCGGCAAACATATTTTCAAGAATTCTAACGAATGCCATAGGTTTTTCTGTTAAATTTTTTCGTGCGTGTTAGGATGAATAGTTTCGTAAAAAAGACGCAAAACGCAACGGGGTTAAAAGCAATATCTGGAATTGCCCTTCGGGATTCGGAATAGCTTTGTTCTTCTGTTATGTGAAGCTACGCTGGTCAGGAGGGTCCCCGAATTGGCAACCGAGGGGACAACTAATGAAAAAATGTTCAAACGTAAGATAAACAAAGGCTAAAATGTTCGATGAGTGAGAAAAAAAGGGAGACACAATATGACGGCAAAGTAATAGAGACAGATACAAAACAGGGATTTACACTCAAAGAAGAATTAATTTATAGTTAACAAATAGATTCTGTTAGAGGTGGACTACTCGTGCTACTCAAGGTTCTCCGCAGTTGGTTTTCAAATAATGGGAGGTGTTAGCGCACTGAATTTTTCACAAAATAATTATTCATGGGTAAAAGAAATTATCTGAAAGATGGAGGGAAGGTTTACCGTTAGAATAAAATTGAAATGTACATAATATTTTTTTGCACAATGTTTTGCACAGTTGACTAGTAATTTTGAGTGATATGGAATTTGATGGACGGGCAAGAAAATCATTGAATTTCCAATTTCATTGAAAATTCAAGAATAAAGTTACCTGAATTTTCTAGACATTTTTATTAAGTTCTGTGGAATTATTGAACTAAAATTCACAGTTTCCATTGATTTTCTATTGAAATTTCTTAGGAATTTTGTTCTCAAATTTCATTGATTGAATCCGTAGCGTTCAAGGTAAGTAAAATCAATTGTAACTATTGTCACGAATCCCTAAAAATTCGAAATAAATTCCTAAAAACTAAGAATAGTCAAAACTAAAAACTAACAACTGAAATTTTTTATCCTTTGTACATTAATTGAATACTACACTGATAGAAAATATTATTTTTATTAAGATGTTTCTTTTTTGAATGGACATCAGGAAAGTTCTACGTATGCTTAGAAAATTTCACCCTGACGAGCTTTATAAAAATTAACAGATCAAATTTCACTACTCAGCAATCAATTTTTATCAAACTTGGGGATAATGAGACAAAAATCACTTATTGTACACTTTCATAGAATGACTAGGCAATAATGCGCGCTGTCACGGAAATCATTGATTGATCCATCAACCAATCTCAAGGCAAATAAAAAGTTAACAATCACAACAATCATTCAGTGTCAATCAACTTTATGAAAAAGGATACGATAATTACGATACTACGATAATTTACGATAATTTTTAATGAAAATTTCTCTCCATTTAAATTGCAAAAATCAGTGATGAAAAATTTTACATATTATGTTTTATAAAAGGGAGAGATATTCTTAAGATGAGGAATGTTATAGCAATAACCTGCCCCTCAGTTCGCCTGACCTCGTATTTTTCTTCTGATGTTTCACAAAGCAGGCATTCTCAATTCAATTCAGGGAATATTTGCGCATTCTGGACCTCGTACGTGACGAAGAAAAGTTGGAGAATTCTGTGATTACTTTTTTCCGAATTCAATTAATTCCCCCACAATCGTGAACTGCTAAATAAACTCTTCTCCTTACACGTAAATCTCTTGAAAATATGTTATCTTCCCACATTGTAACGCCTCTCATAACTCAGGAACTATTCATCGAAATGACCAGGGAGAGCCATTAAGTCTTTCTATGATTCGCCCGTCTGTTATCAATCATATTTTTTGTTTCTATTAAGATATACTACAACGCGATGTTTTGCTATGTGTCTTCCAAAGGCAGGCGCTGTTCTTCATTTTGAGAATCCTCCGCGTGTAGGGGAGCTGGTGCATGTACCGCCCACCTAAGGGAAATGAGTCTTTTTTTCCAACTTCGCACTCTACAAGGAGTCATGAACGGTTAGAATGGGTTCTTCGAGGTGTCTACTCGAAGATGTGGAGAGGGCAGATTTTTTATTAACATTAAATATATTTAATTATGTAATTCAATTGCCATCGGCCAGGGAGCGATGGAATCGAACTTTGAAGGTAATACCGCCCGGCATGCGTCCAATACCGCCCACCTTGTTTTGATGACTTTTGAGCAATGCAGACCAACTGTTATAATTTTTCCTATTTTCATCCTTCGTTTCCATCCTTTGGCTCCATTTTGAGAAAGATTTCACGTGAATAATAATAAATTACCCTGAATTTACCCGATGTTCCAGTGGCCACCGACTACCCCAAACAATCGAGCTGTCACTCGACCGCCCTCTAGCTGCAGCGTCTAGCAGCCCTATAGAAATTCTGAGCGGCATTACCCACAAACTCTGATAAAATAGCCAATAATAACTGATGAAGATATTTTTCTGCTATCGAAAACGCGGCAATGGATGTGGAAATGTATAACGAACATATATTTCGCACTCCATTCAATTATAGACCAACTGAAAATTTGAAAAATCTTAAATTCTAGGGTCGAGATATTTGAAGAATTCAGTAGGAAATAATTGAGATTTTTTTAATGATGTTTCCACGGTAGAAAATTGAAAATTTCTATTGAAATTACGTGAGCGGGATTATCCGCTGGGTGGTACAAGCACCAGCTCTCCTATTGTTTGGTGTTTGGTAGATGGACGCATATCGTTGTGATTGTTATTCTCCTGTCGATTTTCATCGTTATCGTCTACTCTACACTGTTGAAAAAATTTAGCTGAATTTTGAAAAAGTCAATGTAATTTCAAATTTCTCTGAAAACTCAAGTAAAATGCTAATTTTTTAGCGGCTGGAAGACCGAAATTCTACAATGTACAGGAATTTTCAAGTGAAAATGAATATTCACTGTCAAATTCTCTTGACTTTCCAGGGAATTCTTTTGAACAGTAGTGAAGAATAGAAGACTTTTTGAGGAATAATTGTAATTTTCCCCGAGTGAAACTTAAATCGAATTATTTTTCCTCGCAACGCCCGTAAACGACGTTTCACGGACAGTGTGATGAAAAAGAAATTGTCACTCATGCCTGACTGTAGAACTACTCCTACACTGTTGGAAATTTTTTGAAATTCCATGGAAGATATTATAGTAAATATCATGAGAGTGACATTGAATCGAATTTAGGGAAAAAATGGTTATGAAATTTCAAGTTTTAAGTAGAATTCATGGAAATTCATGAGTTTTCAGCGGGAGTGAGGTGGAAACTTGACAACTTGATTGAATTTGAATGGAACATGAATATTTGAATTCAGTGGAACATGAATATTCAGAAATAAAATGACATGTTTAGATTTTTCCCCAAATTTTCCTAAGTTTTCCGACTTTTCACAGAATAATTGAACTGAAAAATCAAGTATTTTATTGATTTCCAGATCATTTGAACAGAAAATTAATGGAATATTTGATTTTTCAATGACAAAATTTCCTAAAACTTCAGTAAAACTTGAACACAATAAAAATTTCCGGAATTTAGCACGGGAAAATTCAGACGAAAATTTTTAACAGTGTAGACTTTTTTAATTTATGCACGATGACATCTCATTGAGAGAGCATTAATCAGCATTCCTTCCAGTTCTATAACAAAATATTATTTTTCGATAATCAGTGATTGACTATCTCCGGATGTTCCCACTTTTCGTTAAGAGCATTTCCAATCTCTCGCTTTTTGCAAGATCCCCCTCGATGATTGCGTTCTCCGAAAGAGGAGCGCAACAAGAAATGTTCCAGCCTATCGAGCGGCTCAGGAAAATATTCGTTACAAATCAGTAGTCAAGTGGTAACACGAGATAACCCAGTTTCACGCCAAGAAGTGGTCAGAATTCAAGGGCGATGACGAAATGTCCATTGAGATCTTATTTGTGTAGCTCCCAATGCTCTTCGAAAATCGTCCTCATAAATATCAATGCATGTCCTTTAGATTCGAGCACATCTGTCGAGGTCTTGCCTCGAAATCACGATTATTTATCTTTATTTACCACTTGACTACTGAGATATTTTTGATTTGATACCGAGACATCATAATTCATTTTTGCGTGTCATATAAATATTATGTGTCATGGTAAAGGGAAACAAGCGTGAAAGTTATGCTCATGACCATTTGCCCTCGTCACTTGATGATGACGATAGTTTTCTATCTGTTTTGAAAATTCACCATTGCACTATTAAAAATTTTTGTCTGAATTTTCCGGTACACTTTTTGGAAATTTTTATCGAATTTAATTACCACTGACATTTCGAGGAATTCCGTCTTTGAAAATTCGGAATTTCGTGGAAAAAGTAAAGAGAACTTTCAATTTCAGTTCCATTTTTCCCTGAAAATTAATTTTCAATTCAATTCATTTTCAGGAAAGTGACACTGAATGCGATTTAGGGGGAAAAAATCATGAAATTTCAGGTTTCACTGAAAATTCAATGTAATTTAGCAGTGAATATTCATATTAGATTGAAAATTCAAATGAATTAAGGCATTCTCGTCCAGACATCGGCATAATCGAAATTTTGAATTAAAGTTAAATTTGGAATAAGTCAATTGTTAACATTACTTACCAATTTTTTTATTTTAAAAATAACCGTTAATTTAAATTTAAAATTCCGAATTATTTTATCCATCAATAATTGAGGAATTAAATTACCAATTATTATATTATTTTCCAAATTTCAATTACGATAAATAGAACCAAATTACTATAAGGCGCAACTTCTCATAATATTACTAAAAGTAATGATTGATGCCGATCTATGTTCTTGTCTTTATGCTGCTTAAAATTCTGGAATTTTACTGAATTTGCAGTGAAACCTGAAATTTCATGATGTTTCCTCGTAAATCGCATTTAGTGTCACTGTCCTGAAAACTAGTAGTCAACTGTTAGTAGTCAACTCAAAATTAGTTCTCAAAAAATGGTTTATCGTGTTATCAATTTCTCGTAAAGAATTCAGGCCACACGGATTCATTTTGAATGACTCTTCATGTTGAATCAAATCAACACAACTTCACGCAAGTTTTCTTCAGAAATTGAAACTTCAAAATCAGAATCATCATTTTGATAATTCATCAGTAACGTGGTGCATTATAAAAAAAAAGACGAAGGTGTCACGTTCCCCCGAATACTGCACAGTATTTTCCTGGTTGTACCATTGAAATTTGAAATTTCATAATTTTTTCCCTCCACGGAGAGAAATATTCAATAAAGATTACGGATCTTTTCCGTAATTCTGGAGCGCAATGTGGTTAGAGGAATTTTTAAGGAACTGTCACGTAATTTTTACCTAAAATCACGCAATTTTTTAAGAGCGTTCCCCAATTTTTACCTGAATTTCCTGTGAAAAATTACGATACCATTACTTCAATTTTCTGAGTCGATTCCGTAATCGGTGAGGTGAGCGAACTGCACTGATAGACTGATTCTTTTATTCCAAATGAGATTCGTTAACTATTAACGAATGGTAGAGTTTACTATGACCAAATGAATATTCGTTAATAGTTAACAAATTCATTTGAAAGGTTCACTTGAACGGTGAAAATCGAGTCAAACAAGCCTCCTCAAATGTGCATTCGTTAACTATTAACGAATGAACATTTGGTGAGACCGAATGGACTCTCGTATCCAACCAAATCCATTCGGTAAGGGGAGACTACTATGAGTTTTAAAAGTCGTGGGTTATTGGAGTGAGATTTTTCATACATTGAAGGTCGATTATATAGATCTGAAAACGAATAATTAGTGGAAAAAAAATTTTTTTATTGTTCGTTTGCCCGAAAACGCTTAAAATGCTAAAAACAGTTCAGGGCCTCCAATTGTTGAGTTACAAAAGATTTTTTTTTTCAAAATTTTCGGAAAAATGTGTGGAACAACAATTACGAGCCAGTTTTTTGGAATTTGACTCCTACACAGCTGATTTCGTTTTTTTTCATATAAAAAAATTCACTATTTATTTGTGTAAAAAAATACAAAAAAAGAAAATTTAGCCGTATAAGATGCGAATTAAAAAAAAATAGCTCGTAATTGTTATTCCACATATTTTTCCGAAAATTTTGAAAAAGAAAAATCCCTCGTAGCTCAAAAATTGAGGCCCCGGACTGTTTTTGGCATTTTAAGCGTTTTCGGGCAAATGAACAATAAAAAAATGTTTTTTTGCACTAATTATTCGTTTTCAGATTTATATAATCGATCTTCAACGTATGAAAAGTCTCACTCCAATAACCCACGACTTTTAAAACAGCATAGTAGTCTCCCCTTAACAATAACTAATTCTTTTTATCAGTGTGCAAGNATTTGTGTAAAAAAATACAAAAAAAGAAAATTTAGCCGTATAAGATGCGAATTAAAAAAAAATAGCTCGTAATTGTTATTCCACATATTTTTCCGAAAATTTTGAAAAAGAAAAATCCCTCGTAGCTCAAAAATTGAGGCCCCGGACTGTTTTTGGCATTTTAAGCGTTTTCGGGCAAATGAACAATAAAAAAATGTTTTTTTGCACTAATTATTCGTTTTCAGATTTATATAATCGATCTTCAACGTATGAAAAGTCTCACTCCAATAACCCACGACTTTTAAAACAGCATAGTAGTCTCCCCTTAACAATAACTAATTCTTTTTATCAGTGTGCAAGTTCCGTAATTTTTACTGAACATTTCTCTCCGCAATTCTCGTCCTAAATCGAATTCCATGTCGCTCTTCCGAAAGTTACTACTGACCTATCCATCAAATTTCAATTTTTTCCCAACAGTGGATCGCGACCATCAAAACTCTCTTTTCTCATCGGTATGAGTAATCCGCGGAACGAATCACTGAATGTAAATTTCACCCCCAACTTCCCCATTTGTACACTGGTATTTACTCACTCGCCAATCTCTGGATTGTGTGTCTCGTAGTAAACTCCGTCAAGTCGTACTGGCTCGAGTATCGGTATTCCAAGCTCTGGAAATCCATGTGTCATACGTGTGCGAAACTTCTCTAGTAATCTCCTAAGTTTAAAATCAAGTCCAATTGACGCGGCACTGTCGACTATCCTTTATGATATTAGTGTGGGTTGTGTGAGCGTCCCTAAGGTTTATTAAATAACTTACTGTAATTACTGGTCATCAGAGCTGTATTCATTAGGAGGTTGCGTGGCTTCTCCACTGCATTCACGACTGAAACATTCGTGATATTCGTAAGACTTTTGCATTTGTGTGATCCAAAAATATTGATAAATCCTTGTTATTGTCCCTTAAAGTACATGGGAAAAATTATTATCATTAATATTAATAATAAATATTATTATTAATATTAATATTATTCTCTATTTCATCGAGTTTTCAGTGAAATCTGACATTTCATGATTTTTAAATCCTTCATCGAATTCAATGTCACTCTCTCCTTGAACCCCAGACAATGATTCTCCTATAATTATATTCATAATTAGTTCTTCGTAATTGCATAAGTACCATAATCCGTAGCAGAGTCTGCAACGTGATGCAGTATTTCCTTCTGCCGTTGGACAACTCCAGTTACTGCAATAACACAAAAACAAATATGATTATACGGCAATTTTTTTCATTTTGGTGAATTTTCACGTTTGTAATTCAACATCAGACTTAGGTTGCTGAACATTTTGCCATTACTTCATTGTTTGAATTTTGAAGGTCTGGATTTGAACTATTGGCAACTGTTGAGAAGAATTTCATAAAATTGGAAAGCCTACTTTTTTCAGAAGATTCATAAAATATGAGAAACTACAATTGTTGGGAATGAAGAATTCTTTCATAAATCATATATCAACAATGAATTTTTTCCCCTAAAAACCATTTTTCTAAAATTGGGCCAAATTTCTAAGTATTTGAAACTTCGCCAGGAATTGATTCCATGCATCATAAGATTTTGAAAATTTTTTGCAATTTCCATTATTAAGAGGAAAAAATCTTTTTATAAATGTTTTTCTAATGAAGAAATTTTTAAGACTCCATTCACTGCAATAAAACAAAAAAATGATTGTATGACAATTTTTGGCGAAATTCTTTTCAACATTTGCAATTAAACGTTCGATCCGGGTTACCAACTCTTTAGCAATTACTTCATTATATTTAAATTTTGAAAGTTTGGATTTGAACTATTGTCAACTGTTGGGAGGCATTAATTCATCAAATTCATAAAACATGAGGAACTGTAATTTTCGGGGATGATGATTTCTATCATAAATAATTTATCAACAATTCGTCAAGATATAAAATTTCATTAAAAATTGATTTCATGCGTAATAAAAACTCGAAAAGGTTTTAGAATTTCCGTTATTAAGCAGAAAAATTTTGTTCGTAAAGGGAATGTTTTTCCAATGTTTTCATGCAATTAAATTGACAAATTTGCATTAAACTGGAAAATGCCCTCACATATCCTTCACATAATATGTTCCCCGATGAATCATCCAGGAAATAAAGAGAAAAATATTTATCTGATCTTCCAGATACACCTCAGTGACGCACAACAACTGCATAATTTCAACTCCCGTCATCCATTAGACCTAATGCTCATGTACGTTCATATGTCAATGGCGAGATCCATTAAACATAAGAGGAGACCGCAAACAACGCCGGTTTTTCCTGTTATTCTCAAAGCGGAGAAATTGAAAAAAAACGGGCAATTAATCATCCACACCGGACAATTCTGCGGAACGGTGATTCATGAAAGGTCAAACTTCATTCAGTGATGCCCCCGCTTTTACGTCTAGTAGCTCATAATTATTCAACCACACTCGTGGTATCCAGAGTCGAATAATTGGACCTGACAAATTCTACTTAGGTCTCTCCGTTCAGAACTGGATAGGTCTTGGGAAGCCTCTTCCCAAGTGCTTCCGAGACCTTTCTACCTCTGGTTATGTCCCACTTCAGCACTTGTTAGGTGTAAGCAGGACTTGCATTCAGACTTTCCAAATCCTTGCCGGTCCCCGTAATTCTATGGGCCTATATTAAATCTGCGTTCATATCCCTATTTACTCATGCGTTATTGAAATAAAAAATGCAATTATTGTTTTTTTTTTAATCTCGAAAATCGACATTTCACGGGAGGGTGGAGGGGAGATACATGTATGCGGAGGCTTGACATTTTTATCCAACAAGCGGAGAAGGTTGCAGAATCTATTCTAGCCACTCTTGCCCCTCCGCTTGCATGCATTGTCCAAATAAAAGAAGAAAGTGTTAACAAATCTGACACTTGTTCCAAGTAAAAACCGACAATCTGACCCTGTGGCCGCCGGTGAAAATTTTTTTTTACAGTTTTCACTTTTTCCACATACTTTTGAGAGTTCTGAATACTCCGTCGCTT